TTAGTGCTGCCGAACGATTAATCGCATACAAAATAAAAGTTTTTTTGCACAATATTTGTGTGTGTGTTCTGTGTATATTTATTATGTATATATAAATACACACACATGCAGTATATTTTGAAAATATTTACATGTCTATATTTATATAATTTATATTATAAATATATTTAATATATAAACAAAACATTTTTCTGAAATATATACACATGCATGTGTGTGTATTTATATATACATAATATATGTATGTGTGCTGTGTATATTTATTATGTAAACAAACCTTTATTTTGGATGCGATTAATCATATATATATATATATTTTTTTTTTCCTCTTGGTGCATCACTAGCAGTTTGCCAAAATATTCCAAGCAGCATATCAATCTCCCAAAAGCTGTAAGATTAGTGATGTGTTCTTGACTACCTGTGCTCTCCTCAGCAGGTCGGTAAAAACAGAGAACCAATCAGGCGTCAGCCTCTCCAGCTCCAAAGTGATGATGGCCAAAGCCAATATGGAGCCCTTGAACTGCCAGAGCTGGTGGCAGGCCATACAGTGCTGCAGCTGCCTGGTCCACAGCGACGCCTGGAGGCAGGGTCTCTTCTGAGAGCTGGACAACATCAGCTGAGGACGCCTGGACATCAGCAGGCCGTGGAACTGAGGGAAAACAACAAACCGCTTAACCAACAGAGCCACCAAAAAACAGGGTCTGTACCTGTACTCTGGAGAAACAGGTTTGTGTGTAAGCCCTTCATGAGCGGGCTGTAAACAATGTGCTGTGTTCAATAGTCTCTCGCTCTGATTCTCAATCCAGATACATTCGGTTTTTCCTCAATGAAGGCCATTTTGTTAACATGAAAGCCATGCACAACCCACCAAAATGATTTTTTTTGTTTGTTTTTGGGAATTGATTCCCTGGTTGATTTTCCATTCAAGTCCGAGCGAAATACGAGTTTGCAAAATTGGCAACTAATTAGCATCAAACGATATTACACTGATCATCATTGATGAATACAATAATGTGCACTTAATAAATAGGGCCCATTCTGATTTCACACTGATGCACATGTTTTCTAGCTTCATCTATTTGGAAAAAGAAATAAGCCATGTTGATTGAATAGGAATGACGTGATGGTTTCATGAGTTCAGGGTAGTAATGCACATTGCCTTGTTAAATGTTTACTGTGGAAGTGTGACTTTCCTTTGCATCTATGGCTGTATGCGAGCGTTCACTTCTCCAAGAGACTGACAAGTCACATACGGTAATATATTTAAGCTATTCTAAATTGTGGATATTTATTTGGGAAGTTTTAAGGAAATTTATTTTTCTATGCTATTAGATATTTTTTCATTTCACAAGCAATTATATTTAATTATTCTACGTGTTATAGACATCTAGATATCTATAATATGACATACATATGGGGAGATCTCACAAAAACATCCCAAAATATACAGTGGTGTGAAAAAGTGTTGGCCCCCTTCCTGAGTTCTTATTTTTTTGCATGTTTGTCACACTTTAATGTTTCAGATCATCAAACAAATTTAAATATTAGTAAAAGATAAGTAAACACAACATGTTTTTTCACACAGGGCCATGTAGTTTTGGATTTTGTTTTCCCTTAATAATAAAAACCTTCATTTAAAAACTGCATGTTGTGTTTACTTGTGTTATCTTTGACTAATATTTAAATTTGTTTGATGATCTGAAACATTAAAGTGTGACAAACATGCAAAAAAATAAGAAATCAGGAAGGGGGCCAACACTTTCACACCACTGTATAATGCATATGCATAAAGAAAAAGCATTTTTAGGACCATCAAGGTTTTTTTTTTTACATTGTGGCATTATTATTATTATTCAGCAGCACAAAATTAATTCAGTAAATGTACTTCATTTAATACATATTTTTTACAAATTATGATAATGAAGACATACAAAACTATTTTTTGCATTACAGTAATGAGAAGTAATGTAAAATGTGCCAATTTGCCATGGAAATAGTTTCACACTGAACCCAGTCCGGTCTAAAAATTTAAAATGTGTCATTCCAAAATATTTCCTGGTAATAAAAAGGAGTATTTTTTTTATTATTTTATACTTTTCCCCAAAGGTTCACTTATAACGCTTTTCGCACCTAAAACGGCCAATAAATGTGCAGCCTTTATTGGTAAATTATATTAAATTTGAATTTGCATACAAAACATCTTAATGGTCCTAAAAACAGGCTTGGTTTTCTTTATCCAAAATATATATATAATTTTGATTTGGGGTCAAAAAAGACCCATGTTTCATGCGTTTCTCCCATATTTTAATTCAATTTTCTTAACGAAGAGATTTTTTTTTTTTAAGCATCAGGATTTTTTCTTTTTAAATCACAGAGTTTAACAGGGTCTCGTTTCACATGCTTTAAATTTCTAATGGCTATTTTATGACTGTCCGTGGTGCGCCAAAACAGCAATTGCTCTCCATTTGTGAACTGTTGCTCTGATCGATCTGATCGTGGCTAAACGCCTCTCGACCACGTCTATGCCACACCAACTTGTGCAAAGAACATCAGTCATATTTTCAGACATTTTAACTGAACCCCACCATGTAGGAAAGACAAAGTATGAAGATACATTATATTGCCAAAAGTACTGGGCCTCCCCCCTTCTAATGAACAGGTTTGACTACTTTAGTCATTTCCATGAGTACAAATCGTAATGTTTAAGCATATAATGATATTCTGGGGAATTGTGTGCTTCTAATTTTATAGCAACAGTTTGAACAGGAGCCTTTTCTGTTCTAACATGACAATGCCTCTGTGTATAATGCAAGGTTCAAAAAGAAAGGATTGATTGTCAACGTCAAGGACCAAATGTCAGTTTTTGCTAATGTTTGCAACAGGCACATTAAAAGGGTTGTATGATTTCTGCTGACTCACAATGTGAATGAAGTCCATCGGCGTGGCCATGTAAAGGTCCCAGTGCAGCTTGTTTAATATGACTCGCTCCATGCGAAGAATCTCAGCTGTTGAGAACTTGCATCTGCTTTGCTCCAGCAGGTCTTTAACCGATGCGATCACCTGTTCACCAACACAACAGAACAATAAACGTGCTGGAATGGTTCAAATGTTGTGTGGGGAGTCTCTGTTATTGTGCTACAACAAGAAAAAAAAAAAAAAAAACACATCTCGCCTCATCTTCCTCGTTGATTTTTGCAGCAAGGATCAGAGAGGTGATGGCCATGCATTTGAGGTATTTCAGCCGAGTCTGCAAAGAAAGAAGACTTGGAGTTTACGCCATTCAGCTTTTCTAGTGATAGGAGGAATTGTGTCATTGTTTCGCTTACTTTGACTGTTGCAAGCAGGCTGTTAAGAACACAGACTCCCAAAGCGAACGTCTCGGAGGAAAACTGGAGAATGCTGCTCATTTCACGCAACCACACGATCACCTCCTGGTACTGCGGTGGGCTGATATCTGAACCCTGAAAGCACACAAAACATGGCAAATGCATGCTTTTAATGGTCTTGCTGGTTACGGTAGCCTGCAAATGACAAATATGCTTCCACCTGAATGCAACCGTTCTTAAGGACTGGTGCTCTCCAAAGACGCTTTTCTCTTGCCAGGGTGTTGAGCAGAAGTGTGCCCAGCCGCAGGCTCTCTTCCTCGCCAGGCGGTTTCATGGCTGTTTTGGAAACTAGTCTTTTCCACTGGAAGCAATGCCTGACAAAGAGAAATACAGTTTAGTGATTTAGCAGATGCTTTTATGCCAAGTGACCCTTGCATGCAGGGAAAAACAGTCTTTCTGCAGTGTACCAATCAAGGTGTGACGGGTCAGTCCTCGTGAGGGTTGAACTTCTAAGATTTTAGTAACCTTTTAGTGCATTTCCTCTAGTCTGAGAGCTTGATTTTGGGGTGCATGCAATGCAAAACGGTCCCAACATCAGGCCTACAGCACAGTTTACACAATCACTGTCTACACTTTAATAAAACGTGTTGGTATTTACAAAAATAAACAAATGCACGAAATTTTAACTTGATCGACAAGTCTATCAGGAAGCAGAAAACATGATATGTGCGACTAAACGCGCACGAGCGATTTGCATCAACTAGTAAACAAAGGCATGGAAACTTTTGGGCATAAAAATTACCTTTGAAAAAAGTAACACGGCTTCTGTCATAGGCGTCCACTGCATAAATGTGCAAAAAAACTCATTCCCCCATGTCTGGAAAAAAAGAGCGCATTGCTTTACACAACAACGAAACGGATCTTAAAATGCTGCACTTAAAAACGACAGAAGCTCAATAAAACACTAACAGGTGTAAAACAAGTTATATACATACAGGGGAGCACGGAAAGTCGAATTAGAATCACCTTTGAAGAACGTAAGAAGAGAAAATCGTACAAAGCATCCACAGTCACCCACAATCTGTTTTTGAACCCGCTTGACTCCGCCCACGTATTTGAGCACACGCTGTTGGCACCGCCCACGTTTGTGACATCACGATTGGTTGGCCCCGCCCACACCCTCGTCACCCACGTACTGAACTGTGTTAGTGGGTCGCACATACGGGTTCTTTTATAGTCATTATAATAATTCATTACATCATGATGACTTTTCATTAGGGTTAGAATATACAGAAACTAATGAAACTTCAGTTATGAGAATGCTAAAATGTGTCTTTAAGGGGTAGAGTTATGGTGTAGTAATTGTAATTAGCTTTTAGAGGCGAATATTAGAATAAAATATGAGGGGTATGTGGTCTTTCTATTATTTTGACAGTAGGGTTAGTCTGTAGGAACAGAACTGTTAAGTCATTCAGTAGCCAACTGCATTATATTATAACCCTGCATCAGAAAAATCGAATATTTTTAAAAACGTTTGCATATGAGTTTTTCTTGAGTATCACATTTGATATGTCAAGCTTTTACGGCTCATATATTAGGCTATTATACTGAGAATATGGAGAGGAAAAAACACATCAGTTCTCGAACTTGGCAAAAAATGTGCAATTTGGTGCAGATGCTGATATTTATATTTAATTTTAAAAGTGAGGATATTCTGGTTGCTTGTAATGTCAGTCAATGAGATCTCTATGACATTATAGCAGATACTTACATAAAATGATATAAATATTGTCATCTCCAATAAATTGCCATAGTAAGATGATATTTAATGCTTAGTTGGATGATCAAAACATATAATGCAATGATGATTGTGAGAAGAACTAATTCCTGAGAGAAAACATTCTGAGAGAAGGAGGCATTAAAAAACATTCCTGAGCGCTTCTTCACGTGTTTTAGACGCGATCTGTATGAACAGCCCCTGAAACATGCAATAAGTCTGGACCTTTATCAAGCAAACACAAAAAAAACAGTCACACTGAAATGTCATAATTTAAATCTTTATTTGCCACACCAAACAAAAACTTATCTGTAACAGTTAAAGTCCAAAAATGAAGAGAACAGCATCTATACGATACAACCTAGAAAGATTTCTGTCTGGCGTCTTAAATTTACAAAAGCTCTGGTGAAGAAATGTACAAAACCTATAGCTTCTGCATCTACCTTTCTATAAAGAAATATACAAATCCACTAAACACCTTTATTGCTCTAAAATCTTCCAGCAGTCTGGCAACAACAACAACATGTGTGAAACTTCGTTTTAAAGCTGTTTGAGAAGACAATAACATCATATACATTAAAAAAGTGAGCTTTAGGCACAATGGGATGCAACGTTGGCACAGTCTCTCCAAGCCAACAGGAGCAAATATGACATATGACCACCACACCAGCAATGGCACCCTCCTGTTTCTTTACAAGCTTGGCAAAAAAAAATACAAAATCCCTCATCACAGGAGATTACATGAAAGAAAGCTTGAATTCTATACTGATGCCTAGCGTGGACTCGAATCACTTGCTGTCACTTCGGGTAGCTTAAATGCATCAGTTTGTGTAGAAATCCCCCATCGCTTACAGAAGCAGGCTACTCGGAGTAAGTGGAATGTCTTTGGAGCAAAAGAGCTCTGAAATTAAAACACAAAACAGGCCCACCCCGTACAAAGTGTGCATATTTCCTTCAAAAATACAGTATAATTCTACCCTTGTATAAAAATATTAGCTCAAAAAAAAAAAGCAAGACACTGTAAAAAGAGGGCGTTACTGAGAAATGAAGGGCAAAATATTTCGCTACAGTCCTGTGTACAAAAAGATCTAGAAATTTAAGACGAATTATCTTGCCAATTAAAAAAAAGTCAAACTACAATAGCGAAAAGAATAAAACTGAAATTCTCTATTGTAATGGGCCAGAAGTGGAGGTAGATTTTGCACAGCAAAATTCCTCTCATTTTCCTCGCAGTTTCAATTTGATCAATCTTAATTAACCAGGAGCTGTCTATTTTTTTTTTTGATTGCTTAAATGAGGTATTTCTATTCATTTCGACTGATATGATATGCATGTAATCCCATACAGCAGTTCTGTAATGCTACCCCGCGTCCCTCCTGTCTCTGTACATGTGTGGGTGTGTTAAGGTGCAGTCATCAGGGTTGACAGCAGAAGGGTCAGTGCAGTCTCACTGCAGCACTAACTCATAGAGAACCTACAGAGGAAAGATGAGGAGAAACATCTGATCATGGATGACTGATAAACTGAAATCATCAGCATTGCTCATGGGTCATGCAGGCAACGCTACTGGCCAGATTTGAGCCCACACACCTGAAACAGGGCACAGATTTGGAGAAATGTAGCATTGCATCACTTGCTCACCAGTGGATGCGCTGCAGTGAATGGGTGCCGTCAGAATGAGAGTCCAAACAGCTGATAAAAACATCACAATAATCCACAAGTAATCCACACCACCCCAGTCCACCAGTTAATGTCTTGTGAAGCCAAAAGCTGTGTTTGTAAGAAACAAATCCATCATTAAGGTGTATAAACTTCAAACCATCACTTCTGGCCAAAATATGAGTCCAGTTTGGATAACGCTTCCTCCAGTGAAAAAGTCCATCTCCTGTTGTCTCTCACATCAAAACCCAGCCACGTATTTGTTTAGAGCTGTTTTGGCTTGTAAATGGTGCTTGATCTGTGCAGATTTCACTCCTGATTCAGACCTAAATTACTTTTTTCACTGGAGGAAGCATCATTATGGATCATTGACTCCTATTAAGCTGGAAGCAATGGTTTCAAGTTCAAACTTTCTTACAAAAACGCAGCTTTTCTCTTATACAGCAGTTCTGTAATGCTACAGTTAACAGTGTGTCGAGAGAAACAAAGAAATCCCAAACCAAGACGAACAAAAATAAACTGTTTATCTCCCAAACGTATATATTATTGATCATAGTTTAAAATAAAGTAATGGATTGGGACATCAAATACATAAATATATGCAAACCAAAAGATTTACCTAATGCGCTGTAGAGCAGATCTACTCGACCGGTAAGGATATTTTGTGTCTTTTAAAGTAAAATGTGGAATAAAATAACAGTAACACACATCCTTCGGCACCAGCAGAAAGACCCTGCCACCACACCATCAGCTTTACTACACGCACCGCATGTGTGCTTTATAGTGACCACAGCCACAAACTCACCCTTACAGCTTCTACACATACTATTAGCATAAAGCAGAGGGTCAGAATTACCAAGTAAACCGTTATTATATTGCACATATTGTAGTAGTTCAACAAGCTGCTTCTGGAAACGATTCAGGAATAGTTTAAATTTTACTTTTTAAAATTTCCTAAAAAAGTGCTAATCCCCAGGCATTTCAAGATATAGAGGAATTTGTTTCTTCATGTGAACAGATTTGGAGAAATTTAGCATTGAGATGAGATGAACTCCTGATTCAGACCAGAACACTTTTTCACTGGAGGAAGCATCATTATGGATCATTGACTCCTATTAAGCTGGAAGCAATGGTTTCAAGTTCAAACTTTCTTACAAAAACGCAGCTTTTCTCTTCTGGTGTGGATTATTGTGATGTTTTTATCAGCTGTTTGGACTCTCATTCTGACGGCACCCATTCACTGCTTATAGGATCCACTGGTGACACTGCAATGCTACATTTCTACAAATCTCATGAAGAAACAAACTCATCTACATCTTGGATGGTCTGAGGGCAAGTACATTTGCAGCAATTCTTCATATTTTGGTGAACTATTCCTTTAAGAGATCTTAGCAAATAAAATATCAATCTATGTGCATTAAAAGCAAAATAGTGCAATAAGATATACTTAACATGAAGGGGGGTCTTGAAGAACAATAAAAAAAAAAATCCCAAATATTGGTCAGTAATAACAGTCTTGATGATATATCAGTCAACCGCTACTTCTAATGATTACTGCTACAAAATAGTACACAAACACTAGGCTGTAAACGGTTGCCCGCTGTCAGAAACATGTCAGTAGTGTGTCTGACCTCTGCACCCTCTCCAGGATGTGGCTGATCATCCGGTCTGTGACACCAGGACAGATGTCTTCAGCCACATGCAGGCTCTTCTCCAGCTGCTCCAGAACTCTCGTCGTGTCATCGTCACTGTGCTGCGATTTTAGCTACAACACAAAGGCCACATCAACTCATGTTCTGTTATACAGTCAACAATCCCACTTTTGTTTTCGCAACTACATAGCTAGACTGATTTCAGGTCACATGATGATTCTGAATGGCATTTTAATTTCTGTTTAGCTCTATTCCCCAAACAGGACCATATGTGACCCTGGACCACAAAACCAGTCATAAGGGTCAATTTTTTGAATTTGAGATTTATACATCATCTGAATAAATAAGCGGAATAAATACATAAAAGAAAAATGGATAATTTTGACCCATACAATGTATTGTTGGCTATTGCTACAAATACAGCTGTGCTACTTATGACTGCTTTTGTGCTCCAGAGTCACATATGAGAAGACAAGCTGCCCTACCTCTGAAAAAACAGGAGCCATGACGGTGGTTAAACTGCCTGACTTCTTCTGCAGTTCTTCGTCCTGAAGGGAAGAGATCAAAAACACAACATGTTCTCAATAATCAGTTACTAAATTTCAACATTGAATATCCAAATCATCATGCAGAACTCGCCATTCCATTGGGCTGCTTCTTTTCCGGCTTCTTCTTCCGGACGGTGGTGAAGGACCACTCAGGAGACGAGTCGCTGTCCTTGCTGCTGGGCTCTCTGTTGGGCACACAAGAACAATCCACTGAGATGTTCAACTCGCTGTGTATGTGTCGTTTGATCAACTTAAAGTACACATGAGAAAGAAAGAGAAAAACCCTATGGGCCTCTTCAGTCACTTTTGACCAAAATTTTTTAATTTTTTCGCTTCATTGGAATGAGATGACACTTGGTGACTTTTGTCATATTAGCTATGTGAATGCACAAAAATCATGAGCATTATTTGAATGTTAAAGGTTAAAAAAAAAAAAACAGAAAAAAATAGCTAATAAAAATGGTATACATATTGCATAGTATCATTATATACCCCCAACATTTACAAAAAAAAATATTATTGAACAAAACCGTGAAGGTACGAAGTATTGAGCTGCATGAGCAGAACAACATTGCTTGTACAATATAAATATAAACAATATGACATATCTGCACAAAATGGAGTTTTCACATTTTATGAAATGTTGACGTTTAAAATATAAAATGTTTAAATATATGATTAAATTTTTCACTTTCTTGTCAAACCTAATAGTGGATGGCATTTTAATGAGAGCAAAACTGACAAATAGTGTTATGAAAATTTTATTTCCACTGAAAGACATCCTCTGAATTTAAAAAAACTTTAAAACGACTAGAACTAGATCTTGAGAATAAAGGCTGAATCTTTTGATTTGATAACTTTATGCACTCTAATTGAAAACAAACTGCATTTTTGTTAACAGCCAGATTTTTATTTTTTTTTTACAATAAACAACAAAACATGGTGCTGTTTGGCTTAGATGAATTCATTGCGCCCTCTTGTGGACTGTTGTTTTAAATCTGCTATTCACTGATATTTTAGAGAGTATTTAGGGCAGAGCTTCTCAACTCTTGCCTTCGAGGTCCACTTTCTGGAGAGTTTAACTGCAACCCCAATCAAACACACCCGAACAAGCTCAACAAGGTCTTCAGGATCACTAGAAAGCTACAGGCAGGTGTTTGATTAGAGTTGGAGCTAAACTCTGCAGTGGCTCTCGAGGGCCAGAGTTGAGAACCCCTGATTTAGGGATTTTGCCAATGCATCTGCGTGCTCGCTGCATGCTTACGAGTCGGAGTCAGAACTTGATTCTCCATCGCTGTGACCCTCGGCTTTCCAGCGCTTCAGCCGGTCAATGAGCTCGGAGAGGTAGGATGTCTTCTTGGCATATTTAACGATGAATTTGTGCTTCAGGAGTTCCTTTGCTGTTGGCCTCTGAGAAAAGTAGATATGACATTTTATTACCTTTATCACTTTACAAACACATCAGCACAAGTTAGCGCTGCACAGTTTTAACGGTGCACCAGTCGTATAATCAAAATACTTTTCAAAACGGCACAGTCATGTGAAGCTCAGATGTGGCACTGGCATATATTACACCTTAATGCACACTTAAAAAGATTTCCATGGCCATTTTACCTAAATAAAAGCATTCTGTCTTTCCCTATTTAAAGTATACATCCTGTTTTATGGCAAATTCTTACATTTAATCAAATTCATTCAGAATAGTAAGACACTATAAGCTGTTACCAATCGAATGAAATCTAATTCAGTTAGAATAATACAAAACTGCAGAAGTAGCACAGAATCTGCATCTAAAGCAGTATTTAGATGTACATAATTACAATTGCATAAATAACTTTTTAAAAAAAATGAAATTATACATTCAGGAACAAAAGTTGTGTCTTCATTTGGAATAATTTTCATTGGCGACAGAGCAAAAACACAATATTGATAATATTCTGGAAAAACAGTACTCTTGCTTGTGTGATGCTGCATAACTAAGTTCATAAAGGGGCATTTTTGTCCCTATATATTGAAACTTTAGTGACAACCCTAGTATAAGTGCAGCATTCCTACATGAGAAAGCAATGCTTGAACTGTGCTTACAAATGTAGGGTCTTTGTTGAGACAGGAGTCCACAAACTCTCTGAAAGTCTTGGAGAAGTCTCCGTTGAGGGTGGGTGGTGTGTTTTTGGGGATGTGGAAGAGCACTCTCATTGGGTGCATGTCTGAGTTCGGGGGCTCGCCCTTGGCCAGCTCAATGGCAGTGATCCCAAGAGACCAAATATCAGCCTGAGAGCAAAACAAACAACTTCACAAAGCTGAACACATATCGAGCTTGCCATGACAGAATTATTTAGAGAATAAACCAAAAACAAACAAAAAAAAGAGCAAGTCATTTGCTTAATTTTGTGATGCACCAAAAGTTCAGCAACCAAAACAGCAATTTTCAGTTTCAGCCGAAATAGTTTTTAAGGGTCAAAAACACGGACCAATTTTTTTATTAACCCATGATTCCACACTCAGTCACAGCGTCATCAAACAACGCCTTTGCTTCTTTGTTTAGTTTGAGTATGCGCCCTCTAGCGGCGAAAAATTACATATTGTGCCTTTAAAGGGATAATTCACCCCAAAATTTAAATCCTGTGATACAGGTTGTTCCAAACCTGTATAAGTTTCTTTCCTCTGTTGAACATAAAATATATTTTGAAGAATGTTAGTCAACAAACAGTTGACGGTAGCCATTGACTTCCATAGTATGGAAAAAAACAATGCCATGGAAGTCAATGGGGACCAGAAATTGTTTGGTTAACAACATTCCTCAAAATATCCTTTTATGTTGAACAGAATAAAGAAAATCATACAGGTTTAGAACAACTTGAGGGTACGGAAATTATGACAATTTAAATTTTTGAGTCAACTATCCCTTTATTTTTTTCTCTGATGGCGTTTTAACTGTCAGTGTTAATTTTTTTTGTGACAACAAATATTATGAATTCCTAATGACAAACTCCTTACTGTATAAGCATATAAATAATAAACATTTAATGATTTGTGGTGATAATACATCATGAAACCCAATACAATTATGATTTCAATGAATATCTACAAAACATTTGCTCAACCCCACAAAGCACGATATCATACCACTGAAGGGTAAATTATTGGCAAATATAAGCATTCACGACTTCACGGACTCATGTGAGATTGTAATTCAGGTGAATATGCCGGTTTGTTTGTGTTTTTTCCTTTTCTTTTTAGTGCAATGGCAGCTGCTGTGGCATTTGTTCATGATGAGAGACCGTTTTAGTCATTCAAAAAAAATAAAAAATAAAATAAAGATGTTTAAGATTTTTTTTTTTTTAGTCTTAACCTTAAGACTAAATTTGGATTTACTTGGTTAAAAACTTTTTTTAAAGTTTCAATAGAATAAAACTAGTTTCTCTAAAGGCTGGAAGTATTACAGTCCTGTACAATAACAAATGGACCAATATTTTTGAGACTATAGTTGATGTAACGTCAGTCCCAATAGTCAGATAGCGTGGAGCAACAAGAACAAATTTAGCTAAGGATGTTAATTAATCGATAATTATGTAAAAAAATAATCTTATTAATGAATCAGTTTGAGCACAAATATGTCCAGTAATCCTGCAAACACATGATGAAAACGCTGCATATAAAATAATCCAAAGACATAAGTGCTGGAGTATTTTCTTGTACATTAAGATTATGTGCACTACAAACAATAAGACTGCATGCTAAAGCACAATATGACAAAACATTATCACTCTCAAGCAGGATTTTTTTTATTATTATTATTATTTTTAATATCTAGAGATACATGTTAATAGAAATTTATAAAATGGATAGTTCCGGTCCTTGATTCTGATTGGCTGAGCAGTGTTCGAAGCTGTTGTAAATTACTCTACAAACGTACACCTTTGTTTACGTTTGTGTTGCTTGGCAACCACTTTGTTGCAACCACAACTGTTTCTGAGGAACTACATTGTTTGGTGGAAGAATACCGTTTTTATTAACATCATTACACTTTATTTGCTCTGTTTTGTGTTGTGAAACCTTACT